AGGAAAATCATTTGCCTCACTGTTCCCAGCTTCGAGAGCTTTTCTGCATGCCTCGGAATAAGGCCCTCCTCCTCCATCTTGACAGCCATCAATGTCCCCTCTCTCTTGCTTTCCTCCCATGACCATGTCTCTCCCTGACCACAACTGGGAATGGTTATCCCTTTTTAAGACCTTGGTGATTAAATTGCAGCCAGCTGGATAATCCAGACTACTTTCCCATCTCAAGGTGCTGAACCTTAACCACACCTGTAAAGTATCTTTTGCCATGTATAATAATGTATTTACAGGCTTCAGGGATTAGGATGTGGGCATTTTTATGGGCATCACTCTGCCTGTTACCCGCAATAATTCTCAGTAACTGTAGATGGGGGTGGTCAGGAAGTGTGTGGAGAGACTGCATGGAGAAGGGCACTTTACGGCTGTAGTCTGTCTATATGTGGTTTGAAAACCCTTAAGGAGATCATGCCCCATAGATCCAGAATGCCATGCTGTTTCCATGCTGGTGTCTATTTTGACTTTGTTGTTACTTTTTTGTATAAGTTATTGCCATAGGGCAGGCACACTCACTGGAGAGAGAGGGAGAGAACTCAATCCCCACAGGGATGGCCCGGCTACAGTCCCTTCTCTTCCATTCTCCTTTTGAGATCGTGGGCATGCATGCACACCTGGCATGATTTTTAAGCTATCGGATCCAGGATTCAAACTACAGTTGACCATGATGGAGTCCAACCCCTTAACCACTATGCCACCTGCTGCCCCCCCACCCCATTTGACTTTTAATGCTACTATTATACCATGTATTTACTGAACAGCCAATACAAGTCAGGCGCCACAGCGAGTGCCTTGGTAAAATTAGTTTTATGTAGATCTCCTAGGTATTACACCTTTTAGAAGCCACACAGAGGCTGGAGATCAGAGAGGTTAACTGGACCACCTGAGAGATCACACACCTAGCAGGTGTGCAGAGTTTGGGATATAAGTTGGATTTCCTAACTCTGACTCTAAGGCCCTTTCCATTAAATCTCAACAAAGTTTCAGACTGACGCTAACCTTCTCCAGAGTAATATCTATAGTTTATATGTCACAATAAAGTCACAGGAGTATTTCAACTCCTCCTCCTTCGAAAGTCTACAAATGTGGTTGCCTGGCATCCGTGAGAACAGAACCTCAGAGGAACCTGAAGTGACAGCTCAGAGTTCTCACGGGCAGCCAACCTATCTTTAGCTTGTGGAGTAGGAATCTAGAGACCCAGGCTTGACCCCACTCTCTCATTTACTTGACCTTGGACAAGTTCCTTTATCTCTCTGTGCCTCAATTTCACATCCCCGATTGGCCACGTACTTCTGTGGGACCTTGAGTCACCCACTGTTTATCTCTAAGTTTCTGTTTCTTCATGTGTAAAATGATGGTGAGAATCGCACCTGTTACACACACAGGAACGTCGTGATGGTGAAGTGGGAATATGCATGGCAGTTGTCCAGTACATAGTCCAGCACAGGGTGCAAAGTAACAGATGAGCATTGCAATTCTCTGACAGTTATATGTGAAAATAGCTCACGGGGCAGCCTTGGGCTCTAAGAAAGTAATGGATGCAAAGCAATAGATAGATGAGGAAGTTTCATTCAAAGGATTTATTTTATTTTAAATTCGTCTTGTATTTTAAAATTGTGTGTAACATAGGAATTCATGCTCACTTGTAAAACGTAATTTAAAGTAATCAGAAGTACAAGAAGTAAGGGTCAAGTTCCCAAACTCCTGTTTCGCCTCCCCTCTGAAGGCGACCACTGGTTACATGTTGATGTCTCTATCCAGACACTTTTCAATGCTGTAATGCCAAAGATTGTTGTTACTTACAGCAGTTTACAGAAGTATAGTGTATCTCCAGCATAAAACTTCAGACACTCCCAGGTTAGGCTGGTGTAGAGGGAAAGCAAGCGATGACCTTAAATTAAGGCATGGGAAGCTAAGATCTGTCACTCTTGGTTATGGTAGTAAACACAATACCCCAGTAAAACCAGTAGAGGGCGCACAGAGCCCTTTTGGACATTTGAGCTGTTCCCACAGGTCAAAAGTCTTTGAAATAGGACTGTAAAAAATAGATGAACAGTACCTCATTTAGTGAGGAGGAGCCCAGGGTTTGCACTATGCAGGTGAGGTGGAGAATTGTGCATTATAGGCTTATCCAAGGTTATTTCAAGTGGATCGTTTGCTTTAGGCAAGAATACAGCTCAAGAAACTTAAGAGTGGCCACAAAGTCCCGGAGCGCGTGGTTTTGTCCTCTGTTAACAGAACCTCTCAATGCTGTGTGATGGGTAACGGTTTTGGAGGATCTGTTTATCAGTTCCCTCAAATGGCCATCCACACTCTTGCTAGCTCCCTGCTCTCCTGGATAGTTCTGCAACGGTTGTCCTCCTGTAAGTCTCATGGGAACCGCAGGTGGAGCTAAAGCTGAGTGGACTTGGCTTCATGGTGAATTGATAATGCACTGCCCAAGAGAAACAGGACCCCACATGGTGACAGTGTTTTAAATCTTCAGCCTAGTCACCCAGAAACATGCCAGGCACGTGTGTGAGTGCCCAAGATCCCAAAGACTCGAGGCCCGAGGAAGGGGATCTCAGTGTGATTAGACCCTGTGGAGAGTGTCTCTCTCTTGCATGCGCTCTCTCTCATGTGGGTATGTGATTTATCATTAATAAAAAATGGAAACACACACACTCACACACACACACACATACACACACACACAAACCAACAACCTGGGAGTGGGACTACTGGGGTTAGGACATAGATAATCTTATAGCCAGATTTTACTTCACAATAGTTGAACCTACCATAGGGCATATGCATTCATTGAAGACAGGCAGAGAAATCGTATGAGGGAAAATGAGATATCATGTCCCCAGGGGGCATGGCCACACTACAATCCCATCTCCTCCATTCTCCTCCTAGGATTTTGGGCACATACGCACATGTGCCTGGCATGAGTTTCAAGCCACGAGGTCCAGAACTTGAACCACAATCAGCCATGTGGGAGTCCTGTGCCTTAACTACTACAGAATTGTTGAGCATGCATTTATTACATTAATGGCCAGAAAAAAGAATACTTGAGTAAACACATTATTAAAATACTTTGCTATAAGATGGAGGCATTGTTAATCACAAAGCATCTCCAGAAAACCTCTGAGGAGTAATTTGGATGAGTAAAAAAGACCAACCGTGCAGTACTGATTCTCTTTCAGCAATCCCGGTTAGCTCCTGTACTTTTTATTTGCATGATGTAATGTGAAGCCCACCCAGAGAGCTCTGTAAAGAAAACTACCTGGGTTATGAGACCCTTTACCCTAACATCAGGGAGAAGTTCCTAGCTACGGAGACGGCCAGAACAGCTGAGAAGTCAAAGCAGTTTACTCACACTCACGCAGTGAGACTTGGGGAGGCAGAGTTGGTGCTGGCGTGGTGTCTGGTCTTTCTCACTAAGGCCTGGAGACGGTGTCCTCAGGAGGCAGAAGGGCAGTCTCTGTGGCATCTTTGCCCAGTGGCGGATGGGTGCCCAGTGAGGCTCCCTCTCTACACAACCTCATCTGCCCTAGGATGATCTTTTCTTCACCCTATGTCTCCATTCCTAGAAGCAGAGTTTTGTCATCTGCCATCTCAATTTCAGAATGACTATTTTTGTAGTTGTTGTTTATTTCTTGAAAGAGAGAGAGACCTCCAACAGCCTCACCAGGCTGTGACCCACCCCTCAGCCTTCTAGCCACTAGGGTCACAGGTGCTCAGCATGTTCGCACTGACCTGGGAATGAAGCTCTGGCCTCCCTCATTGCTTCTGTATTGTGTAGCAGCACCCTACCACCTTTACCACCAGGGCTGGGCCATACAATAGCTTTTTTTTTTTTTTTTGAGAGAGATTTTCACTGTAGGGCGCGTGCGTTCGCCAGACAGACAGAGAGAGACATAGAGACAGAAAGCGAGAAATCACCCCCCAGGGGGGATGGTCACGCCGCAATCCCTTCTCCTCCATTCTCTTCTCGGGATCTTGGGCACGCACGCACACACGCCCGGCGTGAGTTCTAAGCCACCGGGTCCGGGACACGAACCGCGGTCGACCACGTGGGAATCCAGCGACATAGCCATTACGCTAACTGCTGGTTCCCCATACAATAGCTTTGATCTATAATTCTCTGGTCAGAGCCAAGGCTCAGTAAATCTCTTCCTGATTTAACTTAAAGCTTAATTAGAAAAAAAAAATGTGTGAGGAGGATCACTAACCCCCACTTTAAGGAAGGTCAGTAACTACCCCTCCCACCCCTTATGTGATACATAGTCCATGAGAAGGGTAGGTACTGAAGCTTTTTGTATAACATCCTATCTTCCCATGTAGTTGCTGTATGAATCTGCATAACTCTCATTTTAAACTAAAGATATAAAATTTGAAAATGTGCTCACTATAAGAAAAAACAGTTCCTTTAAAATATCATAGAAAATTGGTACAGTCATTTTGGAAAATCATCTGGCCCTAACTATTACAGCTAAAAACACACATTCCTAAGACCTAAAAGCACCACCGTTGGTTACAAACTCAACATGCTCTAGAATGTTACAGATATTCTATTTATAATAGTCCCAAACTGAAAAACATGTGATTGCCATTCACTATTAGACTGGATAAATTGTGGGAAAATTATTCACCCAATAGGAAATTCTATAGCAAAGAGAATGAATGGTCAAAAATAAAATACAGATGTATTGATGAATCTCATCAACAGTCTGAATGAAAGAAATCAGACATAAAGGTAGATACTACATACTCCCATTTTATTTATTTATTTATTATTAGTTTTAGAGATTTTTGCTATAGGGCATGTGTGCTCACTAGAAAGACAGAGAGAGACAGAGAGACAGAAAGTGAGAAATCATCCCCTGGGGGGATGGTCATGCCGCAATCCCTTCTTTTCCATTCTCCTCTTGGGATCTTGGGCACGCACGCACACGTGCCCGGCATGAGTTTAAGCCACCGGGTCTGGGACTTGAACTGCGGTCAACTACATGGGAGTCCAGTGACACAGCCATTACACTAACTGCTGGTCCCATACTTCATTTATTTTAAGTTCAGACAGAGGTAAAGTTTATCTATGATATAAGTAGTTAGGAGAACCAGCAGATGGCTTAGCGATATCAGAAGTTAGGACAGAAGAGTTAGTGCCTAAAGAAGCTCCATAGGGACTCTGGCATGCTGATAATCTTCATTTTTCCTTGATTCGTATACTGGTTACTTGGTTGTTGGGAAGTCATCAAGCTATATACTTATGGTATGTGCCTTTTCCACATGCATATCACATGTTAATAAAAGTTACCTTGTTTTTCACATGAAGTGTTGGTTTTCTTTGATATGTGACAGTGCTTTCATATACAAAGCATTATTTTTCTTTAGGTGAACCTGAGGGGGGTCTTGTCTTCTTGGATAGACTGAGATATGCATCCTACCTCTGACAGCATCTCAGGTGAAGTTTGGTCTTGGACTCTGGCAAAGAGCTTTTCTCTATGAAAACCTAAGGATAAACTATGACTTTGATAGCCTTAGAGCTCACTTACAGCTAGCTTACAAATTCATGAGACAATACACTCTTAACGAGGAATATGTTCAAATTGAGGCTAAAAATGTTGTACTTGCATATCTCTACCAAAAGACTACAACAAAATTTTAAGTTGTGACTATAGATTAAAATAAAATGATGAAATATCCAATTCCTTAGGAAAACACTTTCCTTGGGCTCATTTGAAATATATGTTTTTTCTCTCTCCTTTGTGATAGTCAGCCACCGGTTATTTCTAACATTTGAACCAGCTGTTCGTCTTCAGGACAGCCAAGGTTCGCTTCGTTTTAGGGTCAAATTTGTACTGCTTTTTTCCAATGAAGAAATAGAAATATCCTAGAAACAAAATTTTTAAAAATGATATTAGACAAATATTTGATGGTTTTCCACAAGAACTCTTAAAATGATAGATTTTCATGGGCATAATTTACTTTCATATCTACGTAACAGTATGCATATGAGTTTATGGTTGAAAATTGAGGAACTGGATAGTCTTTACCTTCATTTTGGAAAACAGCATCAACATTATCGTTAATTCCAGGGAAGTCATAAATGATCTTTTTGGGATAACCCACATCCATGGACCGCTTGTATTCATCATATCTGGTAATAAAAGTAGTTAAACTTATCAGACTGTCTCCTTTATATAACAATACTGACACACAACATTCACATAGGTGTTTTCACGGTCCAGGCACAGTTCTAAGCGCCTTGCATACACTAAAGTTTCACTGCAAATCTGAGAGATGGGTCCTATTTTGCAGAAACCCAATGGCTGCTAAAAAACCTTGACAGGTGGGTGCATCATTGCATTAAAATAACTTTTAATTGGAAAAGTTCTTGTTTCAGTGGGGTTATGGGAGACTGGGGCAAATTAGACAAACTCCAAGATGTTGTCACCTGTAAAAATCTGATTCAAATTCCCCCGGGGATCCATGCTCTATCCAGTTAGGAAGAAATGCTTCATTTTCTTCTTTTTAAAAGCCACCAATTCCTTTTGAATACTTCTGCCTTTATCTGCCTTCACACTCAACCTCCATGTTGCCTGCACCTAAGGCCAGGCAGTGGTACGATGATAACAGGATGGAATGGTTCTGAGCCTGGCTGCATCCAGTCTCAGAAGACAGAACTTTCAGTGCAATTAAATAATACTTTTAACAGGCAACTTTCTTTCTACCAAGTGAACTGAAGCCCCAAGACTCTGAGGGTCAGTCTTTACCTCCAGTACTCATCGGCCACAAAGAAGTATGTCTTTCCACTTTCTTCCTCATGAACAGCAGCATCAATTTTCTTCACTCTTTTAGGGAAGCGGAAGGAGCTATAGATGTCCCTGGGGCGTCCATAGGAGGACTGATCTCCTTTGATGACCCAGTACTTACTGCCTGTTGACCAAAAATCAACTATGAAAGATGTGTCCGGTAGACATTAGGCAGGATTTTCTCTAGACATTGACTTTACAAGAAGTAGATGGAGGGAACCAGCAGTTTGCGTAATGGCTATGTCGCTGGATTCCCACGTAGTCGACCGCGGTTCGTGTCCCGGACCCGGTGGCTTAAATCTCACGCCGGGCGCGTGTGCGTGCGTGCCCAAGATCCCGAGAGGAGAATGGAGGAGAAGGGATTGCGGCGTGACCATCCCCCCTGAGGGGTGATTTCTCGCTTTCTGTCTCTATGTCTCTCTCTGTCTGTCTGGCGAGCGCACGTGCCCTACAGTGAAAATCTCTCTCAAAAAAAAAAAAAAAGAAGAAGTAGATGGAGCGTTTAATTCCAAAGTGAGGTGCACCTGCATCAGCCATTTCTCCTCAGTGAAACTGGCTCTCTTCTCCAGCACCCTGTGGGACTCACACTTTTTACAAATGATGTCATCCGAAGGAACACCTCTGAGTTCCCAACTATGCTGGCTACAGACAAAGACTGTTTATGTAACCAGGGTGCTGCTACACAAATGCACATCATATATTCCTCGTTTTTGTGATATACATGCTAAACATGTCTATTCCAGAATCCTTTATTTAAACCAGCTTTTTTTTAAGAGATTTTTTTCCTATGGGATGTGTGCACTCGCCAGAGAGACAGAGAGAGACAGACAGGCAGAAAGTGAGAAATCACCCCCTGGAGGAATGGCCATGCTGCAATGCAATCCCTTTTCCTCCATTCTTCTCTTGGGATCTTGGGCACGCATGCACATGCACCCAGTGTGAGTTTTACGTCAGCAGGTCTGGGACTCGAACTGCAGTTGACTGTGTGGGAGTCCAGTGATGTAACCACTACACCATCTGCTGGTCCCATTTAAACCACTTTCAATTATTCACCTTAATACTACCAAGACTAATTATCTTAACATTTTATTCATACAAGCTAAATATCTGAATATTTTCTAAGAGCCAGATGTTTGGTAAAATGTATCCCAAACAAGAGCTGGATATTGAACATGATTAGATTCAGAAGAATCAAAGCGGTTTGTCCCCTAGAATTTAAGGTGACCCATCTATAAAGGTGTGCAGTGCAGGACAGGGATCACCTTCCTCCCACCCTCAAATGGTAGCTCACACTAAGAGAATTTCTAAGAATATCATGGGGTGAGGTTTTTTTTTTTTTTTTTTTCTCCTCTTCAGTTGCCCTATAAACTTGACATACATCTTTATAGTTTTCTTAGTACCTCAGGAAATACATCTGTTTAAAATAAAAAATATCTCAAAAGTACATACATATCACAAGTCAGAGTTTCCTATTTCCAGTTTTATAATCCATTAGAAATAAAAAGTTGCCGGCATTTGGCTATTATCAAAATGACTCACAGATATCCATGCAATTCTTTATGATAACAATGAATCCCCACTGCACTTGGTAGTTGGAATTTTTAGGTTTTCAGTTAAATAAAAAGAGAGAGAAAAGAAAAAAGAAAGAACACCCACAGAGAGAAAGGACCCAGGCCCCTTTATTTTTCATCCCCAAGTGATAATGATATCATCCAATAAAAAGAAGGAAAATTGAGGGACCAGCAGTTGATGTAATGGCTATGTCGCTGGACTCCCACATAGTCAACCGTGGTTTGAGTCCTAGACCCAGTGGCTTAAACTCACGCTGGGCGCCGGTGTGTCTGTGCCCAAGATCCTGAGAGGAGAATGGAGAAGGGATTGCAGTGTGGCCATCCCCCCTGGGGGGTGATTTATTGCTTTCTGTCTTTCTGGCAAGCATGCGTGCCCTCTAGCAAAACCTTTCCAAAAAAAAAAGGAAGGAAAATTGAGAGCATTACCTTTGAAAAACAGGTTTTCATCTCTCTCAGGAACATTATAAGCAGCCTCGAGATTACTTGGCAGAAATGACCAGAAATCAGTGATGAAACTGAGTGTTCCTTGTGGATTGTGATAGGGATGATAACGAATGAAGAACCTGATTTTACAGAAAACAAAGGAGTTGGTAATTGTCAGAGATCTCCACTTGTGTTCAGTTCGTCCTCTTCCTAGAGCATGAGTCTATCGTCCAAGCCGGTGACCATTTCCCACCTGTGTCCTGCCTTATCTCACAAAAATCCTATATGGAAGTCACTGCCAGTCACATTTTGCTAACGAGAAGTTGAGCTAGGAGCTGGGAAGTAGACGAAATCTGTGTTTTCAACCAGCTCTGTCAGGAGGAACACACCAAGTTCTATTGTCCTTCAGCTGGGGATTTTGCTGTGTTTATTTCACAGTTCATAGGGACTGGGGTAATAGCATGGCACAGACTTCTCTGTGGTTAATACGACCTTCAGGTGAACAGAGGCATTTTCAATAATACAAGGCAACCATGGGAAGAAACCAAAGGCACAGACATGGAAAATATCTTCCTCAGTCTGTATAGCAGACACTGCTGATGCCCAACTCTCCTGGCCACACCCACAAACTCCAGGACTTGAACCATGGTCCACCATGTGGGAGTCCAATGCTTCAACCACCACACCACCTGGTGGCCCCATCCCTCCATACTTTTTCATCTTTTTGGTGACCACAATAATGGGACAAAAGATCATTTGCTTTCTTATTCTTCAAGGAATCAGTTTGGTGGGAAGAGGAGGCCAATTTCTCACAGATAAGACTCCAAGTATTTGGGTTCACCTCCTGTAGCGGAAGTTCTAGAATCATCCTTCTGTAAGGAGGCAGGAACGCCACAGCTACTCGAGGTGGTGGGAGCCTCATCAACACTTAGGAATTCTCTTGGAAATGGTTCCTTCCCTTCTCTTTGCTGCCAAGAAGCAACACACTCCTGGCAGGTGGCAAACTAAGGTGGGCTGGCCTTCCAGATAGAAAAGATGATACATACATAAATGGTGGCCTTCCCCATCTGGGCTCTGGATCACAACACTCAACATGGTATAGAGATCTGATCTAAGCAGTGCAGTCAGATGTACTATTTTTTCTAATAAAACACTGGGAAATTAATCACCCTAGAGAGTGGACGAGTGAAAGGAGCTGTAGTCCAGAAGTGAAAGGCCAATCTTGCTCTTCACTAATAAACCTGTAATCCTTAGCAACTCCTTTCTGTCTGCCTAGCTCTATAAAAATCTGCATGTCACAGGAGTGATGAGGGTGGAACTTAGAATGGCTTTCTTTCCATGGATTTTTACTGAGATGTGTGAATACAATTTTGAAGGATAAAACATTTTGTGTAAACGTATAGTCATTACAACTATAAATTAAAGCTATGTTATTTTAATAGCATAGAGGTCATCTAATGAAAGACCTGGAACAACATAAAAATATATGTCATAATACTTATGGGTTTTACCTGTCTTTCAGGAAGAACACTTCTCCACGAACTTTGGTTACAGCATCAAATGTTAGCTTTGTATCACAGATTTGTGGGGTTCGTGGCCCAGTGATGGGATTTTTTGAAGGTCCTTAAAAAAATAAATATCTTGAAGTCAGTAAAGCTTAACATACTATATGAACACAGAAATCAATGTGAATCATGGGTCTTTCAGTGGGGCCGGTCATTGCTATCATAGTTGAAACACACACTTATCTCTGATGCTCTCCTTTGGCTCACCATAAATAGCCTGGATGCCATCGATGTCATCTTGAGACAGCAGAACATCACCAGTGAAGATGTAGTTGGGGTACATCAAAGCCCCAATGTCTTTAGAATGGGAAAGCCCAAGGGAATGGCCCAATTCATGTGCCACAACCTGAAGTAAGTTGTAATCTAAAAGGCAAACAAAATCCACGAGTAATTATGGAGTGGCAGTAATTATCCAGACACTCAAAGGGCAAATATATCCCTAAAGTGTACAAGAACCCCACGGTGATGTGCTTGGTGACATAGTATGAGTACTGTAGGTGTGTATGTGTGTGTAAATATGGGAAGAGAAAGTTTATTAGTACAGGAATGACTATATCAAGTTAAAATTTCTAGAACAGAGCCAAAACATCAGTTGACCTACAAAATTCCAAAAGTGATTAGCAAATCTAACATCAAGGAAGTTAGAAAATCATTTTACACAGAGAACAGCAGCATTCTATTAACATTCACTATTTTAATTGTAAAAACTAACATGTATTCTAAAGAAAAATTTGAATAATATGATGAAATACCAAAAAACAAATCCCCTCAAAGAAACTATACCAAAAGTTACTGTTACTCAGTTTGGGTGTGTAATTTATTCCTGTATAAACTATAATTTTAATATTATACTTTAAAAAACTTTTATGGACATATTTTACCAATCAGATACTGCTATTGAGAGGAATAATATTCTCTGATGTTATAACTAGATGTGACAATAGCACTGTCATTACTTTTCCTCTTTTTTTTTTTTTTGGAGAGGTTTTTGCTATAGGGTGCGTGTGCTCGCCAGACAGACAGAGAGAGACATAGAGACAGAAAGCGAGAAATCACCCCCCAGGGGGGGATGGTCACGCCGCAATCCCTTCTCCTCCATTCTCCTCTCGGGATCTTGGGCACGCACGCACACGTGCCCGGCGTGAATTCTAAGCCACTGGGTCCGGGACGCGAACCGCGGTTGACTACGTGGGAGTCCAGTGACATAGCCATTACGCTAACTGCTGGTTCCCATTACTTTTCCTCTTTTACTGTATGGTGCCTGTGCTCGCTGGAGAGAGCACAGAGACAGAGAGAGGTGAGAAATCATCCTCTAGTGGGGCTAGCCATGCTGCAATCCCTTCTCCTCCATTTTCTGACTGGTATCTTGGGCGTGAATACACACATGCCCAGCATGATTTTCAAGCCACTGGTTCTGGGACTTGAACCATGGTCGACCATGTGGGACGACTCTGCTATCTGCTGGCTCCACCATTACTTTTCTAAGTGATCTTATTAAAAGGCACGTCTTTGTTAAAGCATTTACCTATGGTCACAATGTATTTTACTAAAACATCTTTTTAGATAAGAAAAAAAAGGCACAGAGTGCATTAAGCATGAAAGGGAAAAATATACAAGACAGAGAGGAAGAACTAGCTGACTCACCTCTGAAGTCATCAGTCCATGTTTCATCTTCATCCAAGTGAACATCTCCTCCAAGGCCTGCTCCTGGTTGGAACGCATGAGCGAGCTGACCACCCGGTCCATTAAAAGGAGAATTGTCATGATGATCTGTGAGAAAAAGAATTGAGCAAGGGCAAATGCTGGTTTTTAAAAGGCTTAGCCCAGAGACATGAGGGAGCAGTGACAAGGAGCCGAAAGATAGTCCTCATCTCTGAGGCTTGCTTAAAACCAATACCTTCACCGACAAAGAGAGTTTCACAGTGACGCTACAGGAGTGGGAGTGCCAGAGGTGAGTGCAGAATGGTTGGGGAGAGAAGAGCTCACCTCCCCGGAGAAATGAGAGCAATATGTCCGCTTCGCCCTCATGGACCTTGGTGAAGGTCAGGACTGTGGCCTTACTCCAGAGGTCAAAGGCTTTCTCAATGGCACAGTCCACATCCTCTCGAGGCAAATCTGGTGTGTAGTTTATGATTCTGAGGATGAAAGAGCAGAGAACAGAGATACCCTGAGCCTCATGCCTTACTGCTGTGGTGGAAAATAGCATTCTGAGTGGATGCCCAGCCTGGTCACCTGTAGGTCAAGTTTCTGTGCTTCCAATGAGGGTTCCCCCAGGTGAGGACATACGAGCCCGCATCGGGCACCCCACATCTGGGCTTTTTCATCAGGTCCAGGGTGTCAGCATCTGCCTTTCCAGTCACCTTCAGACCAAAGAATTCCTGCATTTGCTTCAGCTTTTCAACCACGGGATCATATCTTCCCTGCTTTTTGACTTGCTTCATCTCACTCTTCAAGTTGTAGTAGTTTTCCAGGTATTTCTGATAAAGCAAAAATAATAGAAACATAGGATGTAAAATCTTTTCCATTTTCCTGAAAAACCCTAACATTTCACCATGGACAGAATACCCTTTACCTTAATGGCTGAGTGCAGAGAGGAAAACAAGCTGTCTGCTCTGCAAGGATTTTGTTGCCCTTACAATGCTTCCTGTCGGTGCAGAGAGGTTACTGCACTAGAAGGACCCCTGCTATAGTGAAGGCTAGCTTTGCTTTGAAGTCAGAATTAGAGTTAGTACAGTTGTTTTGCACATTGTTTCTTTGGATCTCTCTAGCACAAACTTCTAGAGGAACGTCCAGCTGGGATGGATGGATTTTTGTTTTTGTTATGAGGGGACCAGTTACTGACAAAATACTTGTTCCCGGAATGAATCCCAAATTTGCTTGAACTCCTACCCCCTGACCTTCACAAAATGAGAATACAGTGTCCCTGCATTTCTAGCGTGTGAACTGCAGCATTTACCTGGACCACCTCCATATCTTGCTCTTGTGGTTTTGGACTCGCTGGGAAGCCCTGTGATCCCATGTCCCAGAACAGCAGCAGCAGCAGCAGCCGAGGAAAGCCAGCCATGTTGGCCTCTGTGTCCCTTCTCAGTGAGAGACAATGATGGCTCCGGGCCTCTCAGTCCTTCCAGGTTGTCAGCCTGTAGCTCCCTGTTTATATTAGGTCTTTGCACTCCCAGAAAACCAAAGGCTGTCTGATTCACATCCGGTAACATCTTCATTTGCGATGTGTGGTTTCAATAGTATCAGAAATTGTGACATAAAGCAGTTTAATTTTTTTGTGTTTTTTTTGCCTTTACAATCTCTTGATTGCGATCAAGCAGGACATCTACAAAGAGACACCCCATACCACAGAGTTGTATTCTACTATCTTGTCTAACCTTCCTAAAATGTGTAGCTCATGGAGCATTTCATGGACTTTCTAAAAACTGGGCCTGACTCCTTGGGTCCCCTGGCCAAAAACTGTTCCTGGGTCCTATGCACACTTTCTCCCAGAGTGAAGGTGAACTGGCTGCTCCTCTTCTCGCCCTCCCACCTTCCCAGGTGAGAGAGAACTGACTCTGCAGATCCTTGGTCTTCCCATTTGGCAAAGCTTTTCTCCTGCTTGTTTCTTTTTTTTTTTTTTTAAGTTTATTTATTTCTTCCATGAGTGAGAGAGACACGGAGACAGACCAAGACAGCACCACAACAGGGTCCTCATGCTGCAACAACCCCCCACCCCCCGCCTCAACCTTCCTCAGATCATGGGCACACACGGATGAGCATCCACTATCCCTGCTCCACATGCAGCCCCTCCTCCTGCTACTTTAAGCTTCTAGATGTCATTTGTTTCTATAGCAACTATGTCCTCCTCAAGTCACAAGTCAGCTTGGAGTAAAGAGCACTGATGACAGCGGCCCCAGGTTCACGGGGTATTAGAAAATCTGTTATTAGTTTGACTCTTGACATACCTGCTTCCTAGAACACATGGCCATGTTTCCTGAGAATGGTGCAGAGCGCCAGGGCAGGGCCATTTCAGAAGCTTCTGTGGCTGAGGCTCATTTTTACCATGTCGGTCCTGGGTCATATGTTCAATGCAGGGGCTGGACTGCAACGGTCTAGTCTGTCATCCAAGTATCACTCCATTCAACAGGGGTTCATGTGCTTAGCACCTTCTGTGCCTCAGCCACTCGGCAGGGAGAGGAGAAATGAACCAGTAACTTTTTCATGGTACCTTAGTTAGTGCTGTAAGAGTTTTTTTAGTACAAAGGGCTATAATTGCACAGAGTACAGAAACTTCTTTCCTTGGAGGAGGCAGACAAGGAAAGACAGTAGAGTTACATGGACTCTGTGGTTCCTGACATTTATTAACGCTCTTACCTGTTCCCCGATGTTCATCAGATCCACATACCTCCTTTCAACTTTTTTGCATATTTTTCTCTGAGTACACTTACTTTAAAGAGAGTCTCTTTTAATTTGTGTGTGTGTGTGTGTGTGTGTGTGTGTGTGTGTGATAGGGTGCATGTGTTCATGGAGACAGAGGGAAAGTGAGAGATTGCCCCCCCAGGGAGGATGTCCACACTGCAATACCTTCTCCTCATTTCTTCTCATGGGAGTTTGAGCACACATACACTTGTGCCCTGCCTGATTTTTCAAGCCTCAGGGTCTGGGACTCGAACCACTGTCAGCCATGTGGGGATGCCTTAACCACCACGCCATCTGCTGGCCCCTAAAAAGATAATCTCATTCTAAACAAAAATATCTGTGAAAATATGGTATCAGTTTCCGTTCACATAAATTTGAATATATAAATATCAAAAGGAAGACCGGAACGCATAGTCATTTCTGTGCCACCCTCCTTGGCTAAAAACTCCAGTGTGAGGACTTCTCCCTTCCTATAGCATGAATCTCTTTTCTGGAGAGCCTGACCTTGTAGCACCAGAGGGATCATTCCTACAGAGTTCTTCCACTTCCTCCTCTTCGGCAGGTGTCTCTCTCCTCTCCTACTAAGTCTATTTGACTCCATAGAGTTCTACAGGCCTTACAAAGTTCCTATTCTTTATTCAGTGACTTTGACATTGCCCTGCACATAATAGGGATGCTTGCATATTTTCAGCTCATGATGGATAAGATCACATTCTCCCTGGTCAATTTCATGTTTAACCACTACTTCTCCATCTAAAAGGTATTACATGAGTGCAAGCAGAAATGGGGAAGTGAACAAATTTCTCGTGAAAAAACAAATCCCCTCTTTCACACAAGACTCCTGATGCTCACAGAGCCAAGGGAGATCAGTAAAGGAGGTGTTTTCCAGGACAGGTGAAATGCAGACCATGTTTCCCCAACCAAGGTGAGGCAGGAACTCCCTATCCACCAGGGAGCATGCCGACCCAGTGTAGGGAGGCCACCACTTCAGTTCCCATGGGGCTTCCTGCCAGGGATCACCAAGTCACCTATCAGCCACAGAGACAGGAAAAGAGGACTCTTGGTGAACTGAGAAAACCACCTACCATTGTGACCTCTAGGTCTGAGCAATAAGCATTCATGTTGCAATATATGTATGTGTACATTTTCCCAGAGGGTACATGTGATAGCTGGAGAGAGAGAGAAGGAAAGTGAGAAAGCACACTCCATGGGGGATGGCCACACCACAATCTGTTCTCCTCCATTTCTCCTTTCAGGATTTTGGGTATGCTTTTTCAAGCCCCCAGGTCTGGACTTGAACTGCGCCAGTTGCCATGTAGGGGCCCAGTTGCCTTAACTACGATGTCATGGCCTGGCCCCAGGCCCCATGTTGTTATCTTAATAAAAACTCATGCAATAAGAAATCTAGAGGCTATTCAATATAGAACTTCATCTGCTTTTTTTTAATAGTCCATTTTTAATTTCTTTGTCTTGACTGATATACACTACATTTGTGTTGGGGGGAAAAACCATGTTTTGTACACTATAAAGATATATGGTGATTAAATGTAAGTAATTAATTTTTGAAAAGAACTGTAAAGATATACAGTGATTAAATGTAAATAATTAATTTTTGAAAAGAACTGATAGAGGGACCAGCAGATGGCATAGTGGTTATGTTGCTGGACTCCCACATGGCTGATCACAGTTTGAGTCCTAGATCCAGTAGCTTCAGAATCATGCCTGGTACATGTGCCCAAGATGCTGGGAGAAGGGATTGTGGCATGGCCATTCTGCCCAGGGGCATGATTTCTCACTTTTCCTCTCACTGTGTCTGTCTCTGGCAAGCACACATGCCCTAAGGGAAAAACCTCTTAAAAAAAAAAAGTAATGATAGAAGTAAAAAAGTGGCAAAACAACAAACAAAAGCTTCAACTGTTTTTAAAATTTGTGTGCAAAAAAACCGGTATGTCCTCCACAAAATCAAATTAAAGGAGATTTACTCTGATTGAGGTGGAGTGGAGGGTGGTGGTCTGTAGTTTCACTTTCCCCCCACCTCTCCCCACACAGGATCTGAGAGCGATTGAACGGGAAGAACCAGAGGAGCACACGTTTAACGCCACTGATTTAGTACGAAACCTACATCTTTCAAATGATCTCAGTGAAGGGCACAGAGGACAGATCACTCGCCCAGGGTCAGGCACCTGGTGGCAGGTAGAGCTGTAATGAAACCACCGTTTTCTAGGCTCCAGTCTAATACTGTTATACTTAGCATTTCATTTCATCTCAATTAAAGCTGTGATGGATCAGACCGTGTCATCCGGCAAACAGCCTGCCATTTAATTCTTTCCTGATATAACAATGCATTTTAAATTAAATTTTGATTCATTGCCAAGTGTTGAAGATTCTAATCGCAAAATTATTTCGGGAATGGATCTGTGGCAGGACTTAAAATATGATACATATGACATTCTTTCTAGTCAAAGTAGTTCATGAGAGGAAAACAGAGAGAGCTGGGAAAAAGCAAATCAAGAGAAAGCTGGAAATGGAATCCTACTCAAGCCCCTAATGCCTGGAATTAGTGTATTTTCCGAGAAGCTCAGAACACCTTAAGAATTTAGTTGCTGTTTAAGTGCAGGTTCTTTTTCTGTGAGAACTCCCACTTCCCCCACATTCCACTGAGGGGAAATAGCCTTCCACCCTCCTGCCCTCCCCAGCCTCCTGCCCCAGGCTCTGGAATATTGTTGGTCGCAGAGGTCTCGCTGTGTGAGTGTACCCACGACCGCCACCTCCTTCCTAAAGAGTCAAATAATCTCCATCCTGCCCATTCATCGTCTCATGTTCTTCATGGGTGGCTGTGTGGAAACCCTCAGTAGCCTTCCACCCCGACCACACTTTAAATAACATCATGCAAAGAATGTTCTTTTATACTTTTATGCTAAGAAACTCAGTTTAACTTGCATCTGTTTCAACATTTCAATTCATCTTGAGGAGGAGGTTGTATTCTAATTATTTTCAACAAATTTGCCAATAGTCTCTGATCAGAAGCATTAGACATTTTTTTTTTTTGGAGAGATTTTTACTGTAGGGCATGTGCACTCTCCAGAAAGACAGAGAGAGACAGATAGAAAGTGAGAAATCGCCCCCCTAGGGGGGATGGCCACGCTGCAATCCCTTCTCCTCCATTCTCCTCTCGGGATCTTGGGCACATGCGCACACATGCCTGGTGTGAGTTTAAGCCATCGGGTCTGGGACTCGAACCGTGGTCGACTACGTGGAAGTCCAGTGACACAACCATTATGACATCTGCTGGTCCTGCCACCAGGTCTGGGACTCGAACCACGATCGAATACGTGGAAGTCCAGTGACACAACCATGATGACATCTGCTGGTCCCGTATCAGACATTTTTTAAAAAGAGTTATTTTATTTAACTTTGTTTATTTTAATTTGTCAGAGAGGAGGGAGAGGGAGAGAGAGAGAGAAGTTGAGAAAGCGAGCTGCTAGGTTCAGGACTCGAACCGCTGTTGGCCATGTGGGAGTCCAGCACCCTTAACCACCATGCCACCTGCCGGCCCCCAGCACTAGACATTTGATGTGATTTGCTAAGAAAGCTCTATCTTACATCTTCTTACCAAAATCACTCCTTTAATCATTTTCATATAATTAAGTTAAAGACCTACTGTGTGCCGAATGCAATCTCTGCGACTTTACATACTTTGTACATTTAATCCTTGTGGAACTCAGCAG